AGCTCCTTTTATCACACCATGTCAAAAAAAACGACACTTATATGAAAAAAAATTTTCGTTGCATTTTTAAGCCCATGATTGTAATATTTTGTGCCACTTGCACAGTAAACGCTTCCCTGTTGTAGTTTGTACTAGCTCCTTTTATTACACCACGTCCAAAGAAAAAGACACTTCTTTGAAAAAAAAATTTTGTTGCATTTTTTAAGCCCATGATCGTATTATTTTGTGCTACTTGCACAGTAAACGCTTCCCTGTTGTAGTTTTTACTAGCTCCTTTTATCACACCACGTCGAAAGAAAACGACACTAATTTTAAAAAAAAAACTGTTGCATTTTTTAAGACCATGATTGTATTATTTTGTTCTACTTGCAAAGTAAACGCTTATCCCTGATGTATTTTGTTCTAGCTCATTTTATCACACCACGTCGAAAAAAAACGACACTAATTTGAAAAAAAATTGTTGCATTTTTCAAGCCCATGATTGTATTATTTTGTTCTACTTGCAAAGTAAACGCTTATCCCTGATGTATTTTAATCTAGCTCCCTTTATCACACCACGTCGAAAGAAAACGACACTTATTTGAAAAAAAAATTTCGTTGCATTTTTTAAGCCCATGATCGTATTATTTTGTGCCACTTGCACAGTAAACGCTTCCCTGTTGTAGTTTTTACTAGCTCTTTTTATCACACCACGTCGAAAGAAAACGACACTAATTTTTAAAAAAAACTGTTGCATTTTTTAAGACCATGATTGTATTATTTTGTTCTACTTGCAAAGTAAACGCTTATCCCTGATGTATTTTGTTCTAGCTCATTTTATCACACCACGTCGAAAAAAAACGACACTAATTTGAAAAAAATTGTTGCATTTTTCAAGCCCATGATTGTATTATTTTGTTCTACTTGCAAAGTAAACGCTTATCCGCGATGTAGTTTGTACTAACTCCTTTTATCACACCACGTCGAAAGAAAACGACACTTATTTGAAAAAAAAAGATTTTGTTGCTTTTTTAAGCCCATGATCGTACTATTTTGTGCTACTTGCACAGTAAACGCTTCCCTGTTGTAGTTTGTACTAGCTCCGTTTATTACACCACGTCGAAAGAAAAAGACACTTCTTTGAAAAAAAAAATTTTGATGCATTTTTTAAGCCCATGATCGTATTATTTTGTGCTACTTGCACAGTAAACGCTTCCCTGTTGTGTTTTTTACTATCTCCTTTTATCACACCAAGTCGAAAGAAAACGACACTAATTTTAAAAAAAAATTGTTGCATTTTTTAAGCCCATGATTGTATGATTTTGTTCTACTTGCAAAGTAAACGCTTATCCCTGATGTAGTTTGTACCAGCTCCTTTTATCACACCATGTCAAAAAAACGACACTTATTTGAAAAAAAAATTGGTTGCATTTTTTAAGGCCATGATTGTATTATTTTGTGCTACTTGCACAGTAAACATTTCCCTGTTGTAGTTTTTACTAGCTCCTTTTATCACACCACGTCGAGAGAAAACGACACTAATTTTAAAAAAAAATTGTTGCATTTTTTAATCCCATGATTGTATGATTTTGTTCTACTTGCACAGTAAACGCTTATCCGCGATGTAGTTTGTACTAGTTCCTTTTGTCACACCACGTCGAAAGAAAACGACACTTATTTGAAAAAAAAAGATTTCGTTGCTTTTTAAGCCCATGATCGTACTATTTTGTGCTACTTGCACAGTAAACGCTTCCCTGTTGTAGTTTGTACTAGCTCCGTTTATTACACCACGTCGAAAGAAAAAGACACTTCTTTGAAAAAAAAAATTTTGATGCATTTTTTAAGCCCATGATCGTATTATTTTGTGCTACTTGCACAGTAAACGCTTCCCTGTTGTACATTTTACTAGCTCCTTTTATCACACCACGTCGAGAGAAAACGACACTAATTTAAAAAAAAATTGTTGCATTTTTTAAGCCCATGATTGTATTATTTTGTTCTACTTGCAAAGTAAACGCTTATCCCTGATGTAGTTTGTACCAGCACCTTTTATCACACCATGCCAAAAGAAAACGACACTTATTTGAAAAAAAAATTTCGTTGCATTTTTAAGCCCATGATCGTATTGTTTTGTTCTACTTGCACAGTAAACGCTTATCCGCGATGTAGTTTGTACTAGCTCCTTTTATTACACCACGTCGAAAGAAAAAGACACTTCTTTGAAAAAAAAAAATTTTGTTGCATTTTTTAAGGCCATGATTGTATTATTTTGTGCTACTTGCACAGTAAACATTTCCCTGTTGTAGTTTTTACTAGCTCCTTTTATCACACCACGTCGAGAGAAAACGACACTAATTTTAAAAAAAAATTGTTGCATTTTTTAATCCCATGATTGTATGATTTTGTTCTACTTGCACAGTAAACGCTTATCCGCGATGTAGTTTGTACTAGTTCCTTTTGTCACACCACGTCGAAAGAAAACGACACTTATTTGAAAAAAAAAATTCGTTGCATTTTTTAAGCCCATGATCGTATTATTTTGTGCCACTTGCACAGTAAACGCTTCCCTGTTGTAGTTTTTACTAGCTCCTTTTATCACACCACGTCGAAAGAAAACGACACTAATTTGAAAAAAAATTGTTGCATTTTTAAGCCCATGATTGTATTATTTTGTTCTACTTGCACAGTAAACGCTTATCCCTGTTGTAGTTTGTACTAGCTTCTTTTATCACACCACGTCGAAAGAAAACGAAACCTATTTGAAAAAAAATTTTCGTTGCTTTTTTTAAGCCCATGATCGTATTATTTTGTGCTACTTGCACAGTGAACGCTTCCCTGTTGTAGTTTGTACCAGCTCCTTTTATCACACCATGTCAGAAGAAAACGACACTTATTTAAAAAAAAAAATTGGTTGCATTTTTAAGCCCATGATTGTATCATTTTGTTCTACTTGCACAGTAAACGCTTATCCCTGATGTAGTTTGTACTAGCTCTTTTATCACACCACGTCGAAAGAAAACGACACTATTTGAAAAAAAAACACGTTTGTTGCGTTTTTAAGCCTATGGTCGTATTATTTTACTCTAGTTACACAGTAAACGCTTATCCCGGATGTAGTTTGTACTAGCTCCTTTTATCACACCACGTTTAAAAAAAAGACACTTCTTTGAAGAAAAAAAAATTTCATTGCAATTTTTAAGCCCATGATCATATTATTTTGTGCTACTTGCACAGTAAACGCTTCCCTGTTGTAGTTTTTACTAGCTCTTTTTATCACACCACGTCGAAAGAAAACGACACAAATTTTAAAAAAAAATTGTTGCATTTTTTAAGCCCATGATTGTATTATTTTGTTCTACTTGCAAAGTAAACGCTTATCCCTGATGTAGTTTGTACCAGCACCTTTTATCACACCATGCCAAAAGAAAACGACACTTATTTGAAAAAAAAAATTTCGTTGCATTTTTAAGCCCATGATCGTATTGTTTTGTTCTACTTGCACAGTAAACGCTTATCCGCGATGTAGTTTGTACTAGCTCCTTTTATCACACCACGTCGAAAAAAAACGACAATTATTTGAAAAAAAATTGTTGCATTTTTTAAGCCCATGATTGTATTTTTTTGTTCTACTTGCACAGTAAACGCTTACCCCTGATGTAGTTTGTACTAGCTGCTTTTATCACACCACCTATAAAGAAAACGACACTAATTTGAAAAAAAAAATTGTTGCATCTTTTAAGCCCATGATTGTATTATTTTGTTCTACTTGCACAGTAAACGCTTATCCCTGTTGTAGTTTGTACCAGCTCCTTTTATCACACCATGTCAAAAGAAAACGACACATATTTGAAAAAAAAAATTCGTTGCATTTTTAAGCCCATGATTGTATTATTTTGTTCTACTAGCACAGTAAACGCTTATCCCTGATGTAGTTTGTACTAGCTGCTTTTATCACACCACGTCGAAAAAAACGACACTAATTTGAAAAAAAAATTGTTGCATTTTTTAAGCCCATGATTGTATTATTTTGTTCTACTTGCACAGTAAACGCTTATCCCTGATGTAGTTTGTACTAGCTCCTTTTATCACACCACGTCGAAAGAAAACGACACTTATTTGAAAAAAAAATTGTTGCATTTTTCAAGCCCATGATTGTATTATTTTGTTCTACTTGCACAGTAAACGCTTATCCCTGATGTAGTTTGTACTAGCTGCTTTTATCACACCACGTCGAAAGAAAACGACACTAATTTGAAAAAAAAATTGTTGCATTTTTTAAGCCCATGATTGTATTATTTTGTTCTACTTGCACAGTAAACGCTTATCCCTGATGTAGTTTGTACTAGCTTCTTTTATCACACCACGTCGAAAGAAAACGTCACTATTTGAAAAAAAGTTTGTTGCATTTTTTAAGCCCATGATCGTAATATTTTGTGCAACTTGCACAGTAAACGCTTCCCTGTTGTAGTTTGTACTAGTCTCTACCAGAATCTTATCAAAGATGCACAGCGGTACGGTTCTTGGATTATCTTTCCCCAAATACGAAAGTTGCACGAATGCATGCTCAACAAGTGTTAACAAAAGTATATGTATAAAAAGGCTCTTTTCCAGTCCCCCTTCCCCTTTTTTCTGGAAACTTGATTTAAACTTACTTTTGAAGAACTCAACTGCAAAAAATGTCCGCGTGAACAAATGAACAAAATTTTATCACCTTTCCTACATGCAAAACGTCGGATCAACAGTTTTTTAACAATGTGATATTGTTATTTCACTAAGGGATTGAGAAACTAGAAAGCCAAAAAAGTTTCAAAAAATGTGATGATTTTTTTAGGTCAACCAGATCGATTTTCCGAGTTTTCCCAAAATACTAAAAAGAAACAAGTTAGAAAAAAGTTTCTGGACACTTTGTGTAAGTTTTTGACCCAAAAAATTGACTGAAAATGGATGTTTTAAATATAACAAAAAAAGGAGAGAGCTTCTAGTGGTGGCGAGGGGGGTCAAATCCTATGAAAGAGCGAGGCTTTAATTGTAATAACTTGACACTTTTGAAACATGATTCAGCACACTAAACAATAAGTTACCATAAAAGTTTACTATTACATTTAGCACAAAGGTTAAAATAAGTATCACAGGCTAGCAAGGAAGTCTCTAAATTCCTCGTAGTGGAGTAGTCCGTCTTTATTGGTGTCGGCCATGAGCATCATCTGCTCAACCTCCTCCGTGGTCAGTCTCTCCCCCATAGACGCCAACACTTTCTTCAGCGACTCAGTTGAGACGTAATAGCCCCCCGTGTGAACGTCCGCAAATTTACTAAAAACCTACTTTTTTAGTTTGCTTTTTGAGTTAGACCAAATTTCGTAAGTAAAAGATTTTCTATTAGACAATTCATGGTACCTTGACTCTTGGTGGAAATTTCTTGAAATTACCACCCACGAACTATTAAAAGGGCACTTTTGCAAAGATATGCATGAAAAATGCCTTTTTAGAGGGATTTTGGCACGTTAAAAGAAATTTTGACCTACTGGAATGTTTGTCTGTAGTCTTCCTCGTGGTCTGTTTCTTTCATCTTTTTCATCATCATACTCAGAAATTCGTCAAAATCTAACACAAAAAATGAAATATTTTACCTTAATTTCATTAATTTCACATAAAATGATCAAAAATGCACTAGAATTATGACTTTTGTTCTAGTCACTCTCACAGAGCTGGAAGTAAATACGAAGTAGGGTGAGTTTTTCCGCCCGATGAAGACTTCAGTGGAAGTTCGCAGAGGGTTATGTGAGGCACCATAATAAATGCATTTGATTCGAGAGTGTTCGCACTTAAATTAATTATGCACGTTATAAAAAGAGGTTGAACTTAGTCAAAGAAAAAGCACTGAATACACGTTTTCGGCTTCTTTTAATGAAAGGGGACGACATAGTTTTTCCCGGACCGAATTTGTCGACTTATGTTTTCACTTTCAAAGTCAAGAAAGTACCGTTTCGCGCCTGCAAATCCGCTGTAAAAAGCTATTCTATGTAGAGCACAAGGTCAAAACAAACTCGATTTATGTGGAGAAAGTCAAAGCATTGGTCGAGCACAGTCGAAAGATAGCAGAAAAAGTAGAGCAAAAAAAAATCTGCACAAAAAATTTGGGAACTACTCAAAAATAAACGTTTTGACTTTGAGCTCGACATAGAAGAGTTTTTCGTAGCGGATTTTTAGGCGCAAGATGGAACTTTTTTGACTTTCAAAATGGAAAAATTAATCGACGCTTTAAGATTTCGAGATCCCAAAGTTTTCGCGGCATGAAAAACGAATTTTCAAAAACATCATTACGAGGTCAAACTGGTGCGTTTTGTAAATTGTATGCGGATTCCGCAACAAGTCAAAACCAGAATTGTCGCAAAAGTTGCAATTTTGCTACTTTTCCTTGATTTTTTTTGCTGTTTTGGATTCCACAGACAAATAGCTAAAACACTATATTGCTCAAAATCCTATTAAGACACTTGTACAGAATGGGAAATAAAAGTTTCAACTAAGAACCGTTGCTGGTAAATGAGATAGTTGACAGCACAAGATGGCCAAAATGCTCCTGAGTTTTCGATGAAACATGAAGATTTCCAAAAATTAATGGTCGAAAATGATCTTTTTGGTTACCCGGTTTCACAAAAAAATGCTTATCATACAATTTTCATATATGAAAAAAATGCTTATCGTACTCTTTTATACAATTTCATAGAGGAAAAGTAAGTGTATGAAAATAGCAAAGTAAGCATTTTTTCTTATAAGAAATTGTATGGCAAGCATTTTTTCCATAAATGAAAATAGAAAAAAAAATTGTTTCGAAATTTTGTGTTTCAACCGAAACACTAACCAAGGATTTTTTGTCATAAGAAATCTCAGAGTGTAACTGGCAATTACCACGCAGATAAACTGCATTTGCTGATTTCAGCCATAAACTGTATTGCTCAAAATCACTCCGATAACAGGCAAATTTGAGGAATCCGCAACAAATTTTGTGAAACCCTTAACAATTATTGCAGAATCCGGAAGAGTTTGTTGAATTCACGAATAAATAATAATATGTGTACAGTAAACTTATGCTGTTGTGGAGTCCGCAACTGTAAGTGAAATCCGCAAATTTTAAGCGGAATCCGCAAATTGTAAGCGGATTCCGCAAATTGTAATCGGAATCAACTAATTGCGGAATCCACGTAAAATTGCGGAAACCACTTACATTTGCGGAATCCAGAACAACTAACTATATTGGCTCATTCCCGAAGCCGCAACATAACTAATATGCCGACAAAAATTGCGTTACAGATATTTGTACGCGGAATCCACAGACATTTTGTGAGTGGAATCCACTTACCTCTTGGAACACATTTAAATACTTGTCTCTGGATTTCAGGCGATTATTCAGTGCACATTTTGGCCTCGTAGTGATTTAGTTCAGAGACATTCAGACCAAAACTTTTCACGCGTTTTGTAGAAAACATCAACAAAAACTTTGGATGATTCAATTTGGAAAATTTAAATTTTACTGAGTGGAATTCGCATACCAGCAATTCGAAACCGGTCACACACAGTCAAAACATAGATTGAGCACTGTCGAAAAATAGGTTGAGCCGAATTCAAAACATAGATCGAACGCAGTAGAGACATAGGTGAAGTCCAGTCAAAAGTTTATCTAATTGAACATTTTTTGGGATTTTAAACAAGAGACGGAAAAAATTGAAGTTATTTACTAAACAACTCGAAGAAGGATTCACCTTTATTTCAATTATGAGTTTTAAACTTAGTACCGTGGTTGAAAACTTATGTGTTTCTTGCACTTTAAATGGTGAAACATTGAACGTGCGACGCAAAGCGTTTTGTCACATCCAAATCTTAGTTCGGAACTTTAGAATTGTAAAATTTTTCAAGACATATAAATTAATTCATTCGGCTAGATGATGACTCACCAATCTCCCCGTTGCCATCCTCGTCCACCTCGTCCACCATCTCCTGCAGCTCCGCCTCACTCGGATTCATGCCGAGCTGTCGCATGATGGTGCCCAACTCCTTCGTGGTAATGGTGCCATCCCCGTCCTCGTCGAACAGAGAGAACGCCGTCTGGTACTCACTAACCTACACAACAACTAACGCCTAGTTACGCTATATATTTTTTCAAAGGTTAACTCACTCGGCTCAAAAATTACTCGATACTTATTAAATTCACTCGCCTGTTAAATATTCAAAAGCTCCAATTTTAACAATCAAACTATAAACAAGATGAAACAATAGATTGATGAAACAAACAAGGACTTGAGCTGGCTTCAACTTACCTCTTCCTCTGATAATCCTTCGGCCGCCATATAGGTGGCAAATCGAGGATAAGAACTGAGGTCAAAATATTAGGACTGTTTTGAGGACAATTATCGACACACTTTTTCTTTTTCGTGAAACTAGATCTCAAACGCTACAAAATGAAACAAATAAAACATTTTTCTTTTATTTATTGAGAATCACTGCTTAGCGTAAACTTGTTTTTTTTTACGCTAGATTTGTGGAAAACGCGTAAAAATCCTCTGTGATTACTGCAAGTGTTTATTGTAAGTAAATGCGTTTCTAATCGCAGGTGAAAAGCACATCGGCTATTAAATATTAAAACCGCTTCAGATTTTTAACATGCATTTGAAAATAGATAGATTGACCATATATTGTACCATTGTTGCAAGAAATTGTAGAACAATTGTTTACATGGCGTTAGTTTGAGATTTAGAGTATTATTCTTTTTAGCACTTCAGAGTTTTAAGCTTGCTCAAAAGTTTTTTTGAAAGACAAAGATCTTTATTTGAGAAAACACTATCATTTC